TTAATGTTGTTCTTCTTTGTTTCTGTTGTTGAACGCCGCGCACAAATGACGTCGCTGTCGACCGGCTTACGTCACTTCTTAGTACACACTCTCCGTGCGAATGCAACCCTTTAAATAGTACTGGGAAATAGTTGGCGCAAAATCGTCCCAGTACTTTAGTACTGTACATTTAGTTCTGGAACTACAGCGGTGCGAAAGGCCCTACTGTAATGCATTACATTTAAAAGTAACTTTCCCCAACACTGATGTTCAGATTCTTGTTTTCTTTATTAAAGGAGAGCACGTTTAAAACTAATATAATTATTCTGTTGTTGTTTTTTTAACAACAGAAAATTATTTTGACCCATCCCTCAATATGTTAAAAAAAAGAAAGAAAGATGTGTTTACTTTACAGTATTGCACATTCAATAGACGTCTGAGGCAAATCTACAGAACCACAAATATATTTTATAACAATACTTACGAAGAGCAGGACAACTTTAAATTCTGCCATTTTGTCACTTCAGAGGATGAGCAAGAATAATTCAGTTTTTAAAAATATATATTTTTTAAGGAAAAACATGCTAAAAAGAGCAAGTGAAGTTAAAGGGATAGTTCACCCCAAAATGAAAATTCTGTCATTAATTACTCACCCTCATGTCGTTCCAAGCCCATAAGACCTTCGTTTATTTTCACAAATAAAAAAAAAAGATATTTTTGATGAAATCGGAGAGCTCTCTGACCCTGCATAGACAGCAATGCAACTGAAATGTTCCCAGAATCAGCGTTGTTTACGTTCAGGGGAAAGCGCGCGCATGTGTCGTGGTAATCTCCAAAATGGCGGAATACGGTAACTCGGGGAGAAGAATTGTTGAATAAATTATGTTATTTTTGTTTTCTTTGTGCGCAAAAAGTATTCTCGTAGCTTCGCAAAATTGAAGTTGAGTCACTGATGTCACATGGACTGTTTTACTGATGTCCCCTTACTACGTTTCTGGGTCTGGGAACATTTCAGTTGTGCAGGGAGCTCTCAGATTTCATCAAAAATATCTTCATTTGTGTTTCGAAGATGAACGGAGGTCTTACGGGTTTGGAACGACATGAGGGTAATTAATGACAGAATTTTCATTTTTGGGTGAACTAACCCTTTGAAATATGATGAGACGGAAAAGTCAGTATTGAGTTCGTATATGTTGGGGGTAACAGTAAAAACAGTGTAACAGTAAAAGCAAAATATAAATATGAAAAAGCAAAAAGCATAAAAATGCAAAAGAATTATAAAAAAATAAAAAAATAACGAAATTACTCAAATTTGCACCTTTTGAATCTTAAATTATAAAAATAAAAGCGTATTCAAAATATTAGTAAACACTATAATGATATATAAATAGTATAATATTACTGATTCGAATTTCCAAATTTATTTAGGTAAGTAAAAACATGTTTTAATGTTGCTGACTAATTCACACAACTATGAAAGCCTGTTTCTGCCATGGAATAAAAACATTTTAAATCTTTTTTTCTCCCAATTTTGAGTTTTCCTCTCACAATTCTGAGAAGTCAGTTTTGCAAGAAAGGTGCAATTTATTTCATTCTGCGGCTTCCATTATGATGAGACGGAAAAGTCAGTATTGAGTTCGTATATGTTGGTATAACAGTAAAAACAGTGTAACAGTAAAAGCAAAATATAAATATGAAAAAGCAAAAAGCATAAAAATGCAAAAGAATTATAAAAAAATAAAAAAATAACGAAATTACTCAAATTTGCACCTTTTGAATCTTAAATTATAAAAATAAAAGCGTATTCAAAATATTAGTAAACACTATAATGATATATAAATAGTATAATATTACTGATTCGAATTTCCAAATTTATTTAGGTAAGTAAAAACATGTTTTAATGTTGCTGACTAATTCACACAACTATGAAAGCCTGTTTCTGCCATGGAATAAAAACATTTTAAATCTTTTTTTCTCCCAATTTTGAGTTTTCCTCTCACAATTCTGAGAAGTCAGTTTTGCAAGAAAGGTGCAATTTATTTCATTCTGCGGCTTCCATACAAAACTCACATAAACAAACCCCCGCATACACTTATCTCATGATTTTTAACAGCTCCCTTGACTCTTACCAAACTAACTCCATCTTCAGTAAACACACCTGGCTGATTGCTTAACCTTTGACCTTTGATTCATGCAGGTGAGAAGAAGAGGTCATTGGGACGGGATTACCACCCGTTGTGCTTGAAGTGTCACAAGTGTAAAAGACAGCTAAATGCCGGCCAGCATGCAGAGGTATATATATGATTACTTTGTCATATATGCCACATATGTTGCCTTTTAATGTCACTGTTTTTACATGTCTTTGCAGCACGATGAGAAGCCATACTGCACTAACTGCTACATGAGAGATTTTGGACCCAGAGGTGAGAGCAAATTACATTTGTTTTTTGTTTTTTTCTAAATATAATATAATATCATCTATGTTTTTTCTTTTGTGCAGGTAGCCGAAAACCTGTTGCTCGAACAGCTTCTTAAGAGGGGTCTTGCAGTCTTGAGAAACACACTGGATCTGCTTTTTCTCTTACAGTATCTGCTTTACACTGCCACAAACAGCAAACCACTGTTAAATACTGCCAAGTTGATCTCTCCTTACCACAGAATAAAACACAACTCCACCCTTATGATTCCATTCAGCATAAATGACCAGAATCAACAGCCATCCACGTTGGCATTATCTCAGGGAAATGCTCTACTTCGTGTGTTTAAATCTTTTGCCTTGATTTCACAGTTAAGGCACCTAAATATTGTACATTATTTTTTAATTGAGTTGTATCTTATTCTTTAGAATGGGAGATGAGAAAATATCAAACTGTATGGTGAAACGAATGTTGGTGTAGGAAGGCTGTTATGTACAAGCATCGTATGTTTTTGATTTCAAGACTCTGTATACCATTAATTAATTGATTAACTTGAAACACAATGTAATTTTTTTTCTGTTCTATTATTGTTTGTTCTTTTCTGGGATTTTGTGGATCAGAGGCTATAAAACAAAGAGTTTCTTAACCAGGCAGCAAAAGTATCTACAAAGCAAAAATGACAATAATTAATCATTGTGTCTTTTTAATTAGAAGCAGATGCTTGCGTCCCAAACCTCATGGCGCATAAGTGATGGCTTTATCAGTTTTGTTAATTCAGGAAGAATACATATTTGATTTTATGATTTTATCTGTTTTTTTCTCATTAGTTCATTGAAAAGAAGTGTCACTCAGAGCTGCCAACTAGCGTATTGTCAACTCATTGAATCAGAAGAATAATTTCATATTTCTTATCCTCAAATCCATAAAATAAACTGTAAAAATAATAATGCAATAATTACTATTAATTTTATGGAACACTTTTTTTTCTGTTGAAAATTGCATTTGAATAATTGAAGATTTGTACCTCAAAATGTAACTGCCTACAATTGGAATATAAATTATTGTTTTCATCTCGTCTTAATTTTTGTGTAAAATTATTGTTTTCATCTTGTAAATATCTTTTGTAATTTTGAAATATTTTTACTTTTTAAAATAGCTGCTTTCTATTTGAATATATTTTAAAATGTAATTTATTCCTGTGATTTCAAAGCTGAATTTTTAGCACCATTACTCCAGTCACATGATCCCTCAGAAATCATTCTAATATTCGGATTTGCTGCTCAAAAAACATTTTTTATTATTATTATGCTGAAAACAGCTGAGTAGACGTTTTTTCAGGTTTCCTTGATGAATAGAAAGTTCAGAAGAACAGCATTTATCTGAAATAGAAATCTTTTGTAACATTATAAATGTCTTTATCATCACTTTTGATCAATTTAAAGTATCCTTGCTAAATAAAGGTATTAATTTCTATAATTTCTTTCCCAAAAAAGAAAATTTATACTGACTCCAAGCTTTTGAATGGTGTCGTGTACAATGTTACAAAAGCTTTTTATTTCAGAAAAATGCTGATCTTTGGATCTTTCTGTTCATTAAAGAATCCTGAAAAAAATGTACTTAACTGTTTTAAATATTGATAATCAGCAAATCATCAAATTAGAATGATTTCTGAAGGATCATGTGACACTGAAGACTGGAGTAATGATGCTGAAAATTTAGCTTTGATCACAGGAATAAATTACATTTTAAAATATATTCAAATAGAAAGCAGTCACTTTAAATAGTACAAATATTTCACAATATTACTGCTTTTGCTGTATTTTGGATCAAATAAATGCAGGCTTGGTGAGCAGAAGAGAATTCTTTAAAAAAATGTAAAAAATCTTACTGTTCAAAAACTTTTGACTGGTAGTGTATATACATTATAATAAATCAGGAATATATTGCCTATATATACTTATGTAATTATAATAATAATAATTGATAATAATATATATATTAATAATACTCATAATTATATGCTTATGAAGATGAGCAGCCAACAAATAATAAAAAAAATTCCACATGCATTCATATCAAGTATGCTTTACAGAAACACCCATCATCTGGAGCCAGAGAGAGAGAAGCCTGGCAAAAGGCTGTGTTCACAAGGCCAGTGCAGTCTGCTGGAATGTGTCTGTGTGAGTGTGTGCGAGCTGGCAGCCTTTCTGTAGCAGACCTACTGCTGGATACCTGCTGTTGATCCTGTCAAACTCTCACATGCACACACACACACACACACACACACACACACAGGGCCTGTTTCTAGGCATATGTGCATGTGTGAGCACGGGTACGTTCAAGTGCACATATGTGATTAGCTTCATGCACGAGAAAACATTTGCACTGAGGAAGAACATAAATCAGGTGAAGATCCCAGACTCAGTTCGGTTATCATTGTGCTCCTTTTTTTCTTTCAGATTAAGACAGAGAAAAAAATGAAAGAAAGATGGCATGAAGGAGGTGGAGGGATTATTCCAGGGAGCGAGTGAGGGAGGGTGCATGCATGTGTGTAAAGAGGGTTCCCTGCTGCAGCGTGTCTTTGAACCCACCCCCACCTTGACAGGTCACATGGTTTGTGTGATGCCAGCTGTCTCATTTGCATGTGTTTTAACTACACCGCAAATCCATCAGTTGGGAGAGAAAGAGAGAAGAGGCGGAGATACAAAAAAGGGGCTGCAGACACACTGGAAGAACTGATTGATGAAGAAAGACAGAGATGCCTTCATTCCTATGCAGGGCTTCAGAGATGTGGAGGTTGTTAGATGCCCACCACACCCTCTGAAGGCTCATTTGATATGTGCATGAAGAAGAGGAGGGATCGCCCATGTTACTGGATGAGATGTGCACAGTCACTGTCACTAATATGCATATGGCTTAGTCTAGAATTGGGAGTGCATTTCACATCCACAAAAAAAGTACAAAAACGAAATGCTTTTCCCAAAAAAAAACCAAATTGTGCTGGGAAACGATTAATCGCGATTAATCGCATCCAAAATAAAGTTTTTGTGTACATAATATATATGATTGTACTGTGTATATTTATTATGTATATATAAATACACCCACATGCATGTACATATTTAAGAAAAATGTTGTTTATATATTAAATATATTTATATATAATATAAATTATATGAATATAAATATATAAATGTAAATATTTTCAACATATATACTGTGTGTGTCTTTCATAATAAATATACACAGTACACACACATATATTATATAAACAAAACTTTTATTTTGGATGTGATTAATCGTGATTAATCGTTGCCCAGCTCTAAAAATAAATAAATAAATAAAAAATTGCATAACATCTCATACAATTACCAAAATGATTGAGGAATAGTTCACCCAAAAATGAAAATTTTACTCACCCTCATGTCGTTCCAAACCTTTATTATTTTCATAGTTGACCTCAGTTAAAGCTGCAGTCCGTAACTTTTTTTGGTTAAAAATGATCCGAAATCAATATTTGAGCAAGTACATAACCAGCCAGTGTTCAAAACTA